ATCAGAACTGGTTTCTGATTGGACAGATCATCAGCACTGGTTTCTGAGTGGACAAATCATCAGCACTGGTTTATGATTGAATAAATCATCAGCACTGGTTTCTGAGTGGACAAATCATCAGCACTGGTTTCTGATTGGACAAATCATCAGCACTGGTTTCTGAGTGGACAAATCATCAGCACTGGTTTCTGAGTGGACAAAACATCATAACTGGTTTATGATTGAATAAATCATCAGCACTGGTTTCTGATGGGATAAATCATCTGAACTGGTTTCTGATTGGATAAATCATCAGAACTGGTTTCTGATTGGACAAAACATCATAACTGGTTTCTGATTGGATAAATCATCTGAACTGGTTTCTGATTGGACAAATCATCAGCACTGGTTTCTGAGTGGACAAAACATCATAACTGGTTTCTGATTGGATAAATCATTAGCACTGGTTTCTGATTGGACAAATTACCATCACTGGTTTATGATTGAATAAATCATCAGCACTGGTTTCTGATGGGATAAATCATCTGAACTGGTTTCTGATTGGATAAATCATCAGCACTGGTTTCTGATGGGATAAATCATCTGAACTGGTTTCTGATTGGATAAATCATCTGAACTGGTTTCTGATTGGATAAATCAGACTGGCATTAAGCTTTTGGACTGACCCCAACTTCAACCAGACTGAACATTAGTGGACTCTGATTTAAAGGGCTGGTCTGAAACCAGGAAACGAGCTGATGTCAATGAACTCCACCAGTTTGTCAAATTTCAGCCAGAATTCACCAGAAGCTTGTTGAAGACTAAACGTCTGGGATCCAGGAGACAACTGCTGAAAGATATTTAACCAAATATTTGTGGGGGTGGATGGACGTATTTGAGTGCGAATCGGAGAAAAAAACATAAATAGTTCAAAGATGGTTTTAAAAACCTTTGAAGTTGTTTGTTGTAAAATCCTTCTACTTTAGAGAAAAAAATGTTGAAATAAATAGTTAAAGAACCTAAATTAATATTAAATCTATGCTTTTTTTTAGAAGGTGAGAAATATTACAGACAGATTTATTAATGGAGTATTTAAAATACCAGCATTAAATAATAAAACATGAGTGAGACCAGTAGGAACCAGTAGAACATAATGATGGTGGGTCTATTCTCACATGCTGGTATTGATTGCAAGAGTTTACTAAAGACTGGACTTAAATAAATTAACTGCCTAAAAGATAAACAATGATGTTTTAGATTGTGTTAAAACTCATCAAGTGTGAATTTATTCAGG